GTGTGTGTGTGTGTGTGTGTGTGTGTGTGTGTGTGTGTGTGTGTGATGGATGAGTGGTCAGTCTCCTCTCTGTGGGAGAGATAATAGGAAATCGACATGCGGCCCTCAGACACACACATATACACACACACACACTCACACACACTCTCATATACACACACTCTCTCTCACACACACACACACACACACACACGAACATCTTAACATTTATTTATATATTATAACTAATATGTAATATATAACTAATATGGAAATGTCATATTTATATCCATAGATACATATAGGAAAAATAAATAAAATAAAAATAAATTATAATAATAATAACGATTTTCCTGTCGCAACTGCTGGACTGAGAAATGTAACATTATGTACATGTGTAACAGTACTCACTCACACACACGCTCGCACACTCACACACACTCCCACTCACACACACACACACACACACACACACACACGACGAACACACACTCTCTCACACACACACACACACACACACACACACACTCTCTCTCTCTCTCTCTCACACACCCACACACACACACTCCAGCGTGACCCTCAGCCTGGTGTCAGTGTGATGGGGTGACCAGACAGACGGATGGAGAGAGGGATTATCTTCTGTCCAGATCTCAGAGAGAAACTAAGACAGGACAGAAGTCTGAGTGAGACGAAAGTGCAGTGAGACAAACCGTGTGTTTTCAGTGGCTCCTTTTGCCCGAAAATGAGCTGAAAATATGAACGTTTTACACTCGTCTTGAAGAAAAGAGAGTTCTTGTGAATAATTTTATTTATTTATTTAGATGTTTTTTTTTTTAGCATTTTATTTATTATTTCTTTTATCGTTTTATGTATTAACTTTTTATTTTTAAATAGTTTTAATTAGTTAATAGTCAAATTACATGCAGATAAATAAAGTACTTCATCTTTTTATGTCGTTTTATTTTGATTTGTTTTTATTTTAGAATTATTTATTTAGCATTTTAATGATTTTATTAATAATTACCTTTGCATCAACTCAAGAATCCTAGTTTGAGGGAAAAATGTTTTTATATCTATTTATAATTTTTTTTGTATTGAGTGTATTTTTTATCCTTGTTTATTTATTTACTACTTTATTTAAATTTATCTAATGCATACCGCAGTTAAATCAGTGTCTAGCATGATAAAACCTTTATATCAAACCTATATAATGAGTTTGGACATTTTAGGGAAATGCTTAATAAATGCACTGTAACTAAACCCATTAGATTTTAGCCGACTAAATTTACTGTAGATTTAGTCGACTAAAACTAAAAACAATTCAGATGACTATAATATGACTAAGACTAAATCAAAATTTGCTGTCAAAATGAACACGTGTGTGTGTGTGTGTGTGTGTGTGTGTAGCGCTTACGCTCGCCTCATCGACTACAGCCGCATCAAGAAGGTCTGAATCTCTCTTTCATTTCAGATTATTTAATGTCTTTATTGGAATGATTAATCATTTTGCTCATTTTCATTTGTATGGTTGTAAAGCATTTGAGGATCAGCTGCATACAAATAAACATGCATAAACTAAAGGAATAGTTCACCCAAAAATGAAAATTATCTGAAACGATGCACTTTTTCACTGGAGGAAGCGTTATTATGGATTATGGACTCTATGGTATTTCTATGCAGAGCATCCATTGCTGAGACACTGATGCAATGCTACATTTCTACAAACCTTACGAAGAAACATACTCATCCTAATCTTGTACGGCCTGAGGGTGAGCACAGTTTCAGCTTTGTGTGAACTATTACTTTAAGGTAAATAAAGATTGTATTTAAATAAAAGAGCTTATTCTATAACAGTGTTTAGAAGACTTCCTCTCCAGTCCTCCAAGAGCATTTATTGTTCATCTAATGTAAACTAAATTAGATTTTTTTTTAAAGAAAGAAAAAGAAAGATTTTGTTGTTGTTTTAAATGTTTTAGGTGCTAAAATATTTTTATTTTTTTTTTAATTAAAAGTTTGCGTTTAAAACTATGCAAAATGAAAACAGTGCAAACATACATTAAGATAAAAATACTAAACTGAGTTTATTTTAATGCTCGACTGCTCTCTTTATTCACACACACTCGTCTGTCTCTCTGACACATTTGTGTTTAACTGCTCAAGCCTGACGCTTCAGAGACACATGTCATTATACACATTTGTGTCCTCATAAACCATATATACAAGTCAAGTCAAGTCAAGTCTGCTTTATTGACTTGACTTGTATACAGTGGGTACGGAAAGTATTCAGACCCCCTTCAATTTTTCACTCTTTGTTATATTGCAGCCATTTGCTAA